AAAGCAGCCACTTAGTCACTAGAGTTGCTAAAGTGTTTAAAGTGCATCTTGAAGGGCAGAGATTATTGTCTATCTTTTAGGATAAAAAAGTCACATTTATTATTCTACAAAATGTGCCTAAGCACATTTGAGGACTTTCAAAGGTACATAGACTAATAAAGCAACAGATGTCCCCCACCTCCTCCTCACAATTCTGCACTTATACTGTATATTTGCAATAAAATTACAATAGGAAGGTTTTTAAATCAACAACCATTATGTGATTAAATATAGATTACTGGGTCTTAACCAAAAGTTGAAACTTTAAGGAATGAATAACTTTATATACTGTAATGAATAAACTAAGGCTATGATCACACTGCAGCCAAATGTGGCCCGAATCAGATTTTTTTGCCCACACGTGACTCAGGTAATGATAGTGTAACCAGCCCAAACAAAATTGGAATCTGATCTTTTCAGGTCAGATCTGTGCCACTTTCATATGTAGCCTTAAATCAGACACAAATCTGATGTTTTGCAATGCAACTGCAGTGTGAACGGTCATGTCGGATTTCATGTGACTTTTACATAATCTTTGAGCGACATGCTCATTCTGTGCTGCAAACATCATCTACTCCTCAGCAGCATAGTAGAATGGCACACAAGGTAATTACTTTACCTCAAACAAGTTGGTTGTTCATTTTGAAAAAGATTTTGGAGATAAAACTGGTTCTTGTTAACGATAAGGGCACGGGTTGATTGCGCAGAGCGTTGTGCGTGTTGCGGATAGGGGACCCGTGTGCAAAGGAGGGAGAACTTTCTCAGAGTAAAAAAAAGGCAGGTGCTCGAGCACCCAAACCCCCCTTCTGTACATGTCTGCTGTTTATAACGAAGTAAAATGAAATAACTCACAAACATCTCCGTCTTCACAGTTGTCTGCGGCTGCTCATTTACCCTTTATGAGTTCACTACACTGTTGATCAAAAAAAAATGACGGCTGTTGTCATAAATTACAAATAAGCAATGTTTTCAATCACAAGTAACTTTAACTTATTTTAGATTTTATATGCCGAAATAAACAGTTGTAGCAGAACAATCATTACAGTTTCTGTGAAAAGGGCAATAATCACATAAGCATGATTGGACAACATGCTTACTTCATACAGTATGACGCGTGCAATTAGACATTGTGTCCGTATCTGTACTTCTGCGCATGCGGGTCAGTTTAGGACCATAATCGTTTCACACTGCAAATCTGATATTGGGCAAATTTATAAAAGCAGTGTGAACAGCCATGTAAAAAAATCAGATCTGAGAAAAAAATCATATTTGAGCAGTAAGCGTTGCAGTGTGAACGTAGCCTAAATCAGATGTTCTCAACCTTTCCGTTGAGGACAAATCTTCAGAGAGCATCAGTATATAAATGCTATAAAAATGTTAGTTTTATATATTTTCTCTGAGTATGCAAAGGAGAGAGAGGTTCAACAGGTGGTTTGTCAAGCCCACTCACCTATATGGAGCACACTAAATACTGATATTGTAAAAACTGCAGCAAAATTGAAACCTTCTAGCATCTTGCATGTTTTGTAGCCACAATCTTATTAATATTGCAGTGACCAAAATATTTATGTTCAGTAACTTTATTCAAATCACCATCAACAGAAGCCTCTTGTTGTATACATGTATGCTTCTGAAGTGTTACCTTTATTATAAGGTATCTTTATTTTCTGAAGTTTATGGAGTAAATGTGAGAAGGTGCAAACTACAATATTTCAACACAAATCAGTCTCAGCTTATACCTATAATATATGTAATTAAATATGTAATTAACAACTAGTTGCTCAGTATTGTTCTATATTACTGCATAGAATTTCTGTTATCTGTTATTTTAAATGTTCCTACTTGTGTTACAACTGTACACACTGTAGGCTATTAATATTGATTTTAACATATTAATCCAAAGCCAAATCCAATTATGAAATTCATTCATTCATTTTCCTTCAGCTTAGTCTCTTTATTCATCAGGGGCCGACACAGTGGAACGAACCACCAACTTATCCAGCATATGTTTTACACAGCGGATAGTCTTCCAGCTGCAACCCAGTACTGGGAAAGACCCATACACACTCACATTCTCACACACATATACAATGGACAATTTAGCCCATTCAATTCAGCTTTAGCGCATTTCTTTGGACTATAAGGAGACACTGGAGCATCCAGAGGAAACCTAAGCAAACAAAGGGAAAACATGGAAACTCCACACAAAAATGCCCAGCCAGGATTCGAACCAACAACCTTCTAGCTGTGAAGAGACAGTGCTAACCACTGAGCCACCGTAATTATGAAATACTTAAAAGTATTTGATGAACCTCCATTGCAAGCATGTTTCTAATTTCTAATACTCCAAATACCAGTTTCTAATGCTGGAATTTGTTGTTCACATGTATGCTCATTGACAAAATATGTGCATTTGAGGACCTCCAAAGGCTAAATGACAAAGCGCAGATACAAAGTAAGTTGTACTAGAAAAAAAACAATAAAGTCTGCTTCTTGGCATGATGATTACAACACATCAAAAAGAGTTGTCAAAAAGAGTCTGAGTGCAGGTCAAAGTAAGCATTGAATCAACAAACAGCTACATTGCACATTTCATGGAGAGTAATATTCATAAGGAGTAATACACGTTCTTTATATAATTACTCATTGTCAAAATCCCAACTGAAACCTATTGGGTCCTTGTGTCAAAAATGCTGAGACCCACTGAATTAGATGCACAGTCAAAGAATAATGTAGTTTGACCAGGGAGACATCCCGGTAGGTTATAGTAGTCAATGACCAAAGTAAGGCAGTTCATGGGGCAGCATAAAAACACAAGCACAACATATCTTTTACAGCTGTATTCCCTTTCAGGTACTCTGCAAAACTTTCAGTCAGAGCAGATGTGTCCTGCTCCAGGTGATACATCAGCCTCATCTTAAAGAACACTGGAGGCCACAATCCATTAAAATCATCCCCAGGGGCTCTGACCTCACCTACTGGAGAAGCTTCATTTCACGGCCCTCCATATGCATTTCAGATTTAGTCAGGCCTCCCTCTGGTTTACTGTGTTCTCTATCCCTGTTGTTTTTCTTTAAGTGGGCTCTTGATTCTGTTGTGTTGGTCGGGCCACTTGTCATGATACAGAGTGCACCTGTAATGTCCCCCGCGTCCCACAAAGCACATAAATCACTTCAAAGAGCGGCTCCCCTAACATTCTCATAAACAGAGTCGGGCTCTGATTTATTTCTCTCTCCACAGACCTCTTTCTGCTCAACAGTTCTACAACAACAAGCATCTTCCAACATTATACCTGTGGCCTTGTATGTAGCCAGCTTAAATGAACATCCGGTCAGATTAGTTATATATGCAAAATAGAAAAGTTGAAGGAGACAGGGTAAAAGTCTGTATACTACAGACAATGTAAAATCAGTTACAAAAAAATTGTCCGTCGTGTCTTACACTTCTAATGTGGTGGAGAGAGTAAAACAAACCTAACCCATCTTCCCTTTTGGTCAGTCACTATGAGAAATGTCATAAGAAATTAGGGGATTTTCTAATTTCATGACATAATAATAATAATAATAATAATTCCTTACATTTATATAGCGCTTTTCTGGGCACTCAAAGCGCTTTACACACAATGGGGGGAATCTCCTCATCCACCACCAGTGTGCAGCATCCACCTGGATGACACGACGGCAGCCATTTTGCGCCAGACCAGCTGATTGGTGGAGAGGAGACAGCGATGAAGCCAATTGGAATATGGGGATGGTTAGGAGGCCATGATGGACAAAGGCCAGTGGGCAGATTTGGCCTGGATGCCGGGGTTAAACCCCTACTCTTTTCGAAGGACATCCTGGGATTTTTAACGACCACAGAGAGTCGGGACCTCGGTTTAACGTCTCATCCGAAAGACGGCGCTCACTGAGCAGTATAGCGTCCCCGTCACTATACTGGGGCATTAGGACCCACACAGACCGCAGGTTGGGCGCCCCCTGCTGGCCTCACTAACACCACTTCCGGCAGCAACCTAGCTTTCCCATGTGGTCTCCCATCCAGGTACTGACCGGGCGCAGCCCTGCTTAGCTTCAGTGGGCGACCATGTGAGAGTTGCAGAGAGCTAACTGCCGGCAATAATATCTCTGTTTTCCCATTTGTGGCTTCATTCATTGCTGAGACGTTCCCCTTCAGTCGTTCGCTACATGTTATGTCATACCAATCCCCAAATGTTGTGCAACATAACTTGTAGTGACTGACTGAAAGGAAACAAGCGTTACATCTTGTTACAGATGTTGTCTTACTATTTTATTATTTCTTAAAATAAAGACTAACAGATGCAGAGACAGCAATGCAATATAGACAGAAAACTTATTATGCACAAAGAAAAATAATAATAAAAAAATGTCTTCTAAACCATCTTTGATTAAACATTTTTAAACTTGAATGAATACTCAGGTTAGCAGGACATTCTAGCAAAACTGCATTAAATATTTGGAGATGTTCATATTACATGTTAGGTGATTACTTTTTAAAACGTTAAAAATATAAAACAAAAACACAGAAAAAACAGATCAAGAAAATTGGTATTTTGCAGTTTGACAACAGAAAACATGCCAACTGCTGACCAAACCATATTTGTTCATGAATGCCAAAGAGAAACTTATATGTGCAAAACTGTCTATCGCAGACATCAGCTTCTTGTTTCCCTGTTTTCAAGTCCTTGTGCCAAATGTGACACAATATTTATTTGCTTAGCAAATGCCTACTAAACTTGACTGACTGTCTTATGCTTTAAACCCTCAGTGCAGCTGTGGTTTTACTGGGAAGTAGGAGACACTGAGGTAAGCGCCCCTTCTTAGAGTTCAGGTGGCTAAACTGAGAGATCTGTCTCAGAGACCACTGGATTAGCATGGCAACAGTCTACTCTCCACTGCTAGGAGAAGACATGGTGATTAATATAGTCTATTTGTTCTTATTACCTCCAAGTTCCTTCACATTCAGTATGGCATTTTCAAATGGCACTGCTTTGATGCTGAAACCTGTGAAAGAAAACATGCTCATGTTAAAGTTTCAAAGACAATGTGGTTAAAGACAGATATACTGAATTGGATAAATATGATAAAAACACAGCTTTGCATTTATCTACAGTACATAGGCTAGAATTCAGTTTACAGGCTATATTTAAATGTATACATGATTCAAATAATATTTTTTGCAAGCCACTTACTTAAAAATGAGTGACTTTTGCTACACAACTTTGCCCAACCTCAGGCCATCTAAGATGTAGGACACTTCTTTTTTCAGTAGAAGATTTAAATGAATTTTTAGCAGAAACCGTGGCCCCCAGGCAATCATTAAATGCAAATAAATGGCTTTTGGCAATTTAAGAGTAAAAAAAATCTGTCCTACAGTCTAAGCCACAGCTCTTTTCACCAACAAAGAATAGTTTTAAATCCATTATATTTTATCTTTTGACACCGTGTCAGTAGGAAATATCAGTTTACATTTCCAAATATTATTTTTGCTGTTAATTGTAATAATCCAGTGTGGGGTTTCATTATGCACAGGACTCTGACTGCAGCCAGTTCTCTGCATTTGCTATCATCTGGTCTGTCTGGAAAGACATGAAGAAACAGGAAGACAGACTGAAAAGCTAAAGTACAATATAACGTTTTACGTGAAAATGCTGTTAAATGAGGTTGACTTTTTTTAAATAATGCCATAAACAGATTTTATTTGTCAATTAACTTACACCAGGACACACCAAACCTACATCAACTTTGTTATCAGTCTTTCTGTTTCTTCATGTCTTTTCCAGACAAACTAGATGATGGTAAGATCTGATCTCTGTGAGGAGCATGGGCTGCTGTCAAAATAACTATAATAAATAATAGCAAAGCCTGTGCAAGCAATATTAGTTACAATATTATTATCTGTGATCCACTGCAACGGTAAACGGTTCTGAATGCCTTCTCGATAATCTGGAGCACAAACTTCATGTTGCATAATGATGTAGATCATATGTTGTTAAAAGTGAATCTTTGTGATTAAGATTGCGAATATATACATAATCCTATGTTTCTTATATAGACAGCAGCATCTAGGATAGGAACAAGTACTATTTTGATGAAACACGTGTCCTCCTGATCTTGTGGCAAAGGAGTCTTATGTATCAGTCTGTGCCCAAACATTGATCATTATATGAAAGAAAACTTGCTTGGACAGACATCAAAGCATCATCAGGAGCCACAAGTATTAATATTATTTTGCCTTAATATTTTCTTAGCCATTATTTTATATGAATCCCCAACAACCCATTTCAGACAAAAAAATTAATAAATAAATAAATAATATATACATATATATATATATATATATATATATATATATACACACACACACACACACACACACACACACACACACACACACACACACACACACACACACACACACACACACACACACACACACAAAAATCACTGAACATGTTGGGTGACTAATTAAAAGCTCATTTAAATTTTTGGGTGAACTATCCTTTTAAAGTACAACAATAATGCTGAGAAAGATGCCTCTGACTGACATAAAACAAAAAATTGACATGACATCCGTTCTGGTATTTTCCCACAATTGCATGCAGAGTGAAGGGGAACAGGCATTTGGTACTGATTATCACAAGTGAAAATGTGAGAGTGATCCTCTGAAGAGCACATTTTTTAAAGCTAAGGTTTAGAAGGTAGGTTTCATCAAATGTTCAGCTGGTGAGAATAAATATCCTATGAACAGGCTATAAACTCCGTTTAGGTCTGATGGTGCTGACTAGCAACTCTGACAACTTAATCTAAGCATATTTCCACAAGCACTGCCAAATAATACTTCTCTGTTGTAATTACTGCTTCACTAGACAGTTCAAGACAGGTGTTCACTCCAAAGACAAAGAGCGATCATCATTATACACACATTCAGGGTTTGTTTATCGTCTAGCATGCTGTATACATCACACTCCAATTGTTGAGACGTGGTGAAGAAAGCCTGACACAATTGTGTCTTCTCTTGCGGAAAAAAACAATATTTTCTTTGTCATTGGTAAAAACGGAAGTGAAGTCGTCCACCTTCAGAGGTGCCAGTCGTCAAGACCTCTACTAAAATCAACACACATTTTACAAGAAATAAGGTCTGTGCCACAAAGCCAAGATGTTCTTAAAAACAGACACATGGTCATAGAAAGAGCTCCTCAACAAGTGTGCTCTTTTTTTGGTAAAGTAGTGTAGTGTTCAAAGGGAGGCTCTCAGGGAACCTGCAGCGATAACGTTAAACAGCTTTTCGAGCTCAGAAAGGGTGAAGAGCACATGGTGACAATGAACAGATTTTGCAGACCTTCCAGAGCACTGGAAAAGAGCAGTGCCAGAGATGAGATATGTACTCCGTACAAATGTGGAGGCTTAACCAAACACACTGCAAAACTAGTGTGCTAAGTCGATTTGTCGGAATGATTTGTCATATTTGTTGAAGAACAGGCGCTGAGCTTTGTGTTACCTGTAAAACTCTTTTGTGAGATGAAAATGTGATTTGAAACTCATTGAAAAGCATGTCTTGTAGGTTTCAAACATGCTGCAGTAAAAAGCTGCAGAGAGGTGTTATACTACCTGTGGTTGGTACCGTGCCATCACTGATCTCATTGCACAAACGAGAGAGCAGACTTGTCTTTCCGGCACCGCTCAGTCCAATGCACACCACGTCGTACTCAGGTCTCGGTGGAGGGGGGGCCTTACAGCATAACTTCTGGAGACACTAATAACACAAGAAGACAAACAGAGTTAGTGACTATGAGTGGTGCACGTCTCGCTAGCTTGCTGATAAGGCTAAAGATGAACAATTAAGGCATATGTTTGCCCAAGAAGACAGTCTAAAAATAAACTAAGGAACAAGAGCTGACAAATGCTAATGAAGTACCAGAGAAAGACGTCTGCTGATGTACTAATGCGGTGATGTGAAAGTAACACATCTGGAAAAGACCTCCTAAACTCACAATGAGATGACTTCATTGACAAAATGAGACATGAAATTCACCACACAGCTGTTGCTTTCTCAGTGACCGCAATTACATGCGTTCCTTCAACTGTTGTGTCTCGAAGACACTAAAACTGACTAGGAAATGTTACATTTTTTTATGAGGAATTGTTTTGAATGGTCATTTATTTCTGCCAATTCATAATGCTCAATATTATTTCATGTGAAAATAATATTGTTTTTCTCTCGCGCCATATGAAAACATTTTCATGCTCTTTGTATGATAACACATTTTTTTTAAAATGATCTCTAGTTATGACATCACACCACACTCAAAAAAAATTTTATTTACATTTTATTTTAGTTTTTAAGGACAACAGTATCTTCAGCAGAAAAGATCTCCAAAGATGTTGTTTTAAATTGTAAAGAAATCAGTGTTTTTGAAACTAATGAAGATAGCAGAAGCCTATGATTAATTTTCATTATTCAGCCTGACATGTTTACTGCTCCAAAATATTTTAGATCTTTGGAAAAATAAAATATATTGTGTTTAAAGAGAAAAAAAGCGTAGAGAGCAGTGAGCACAATACCGTGATATCATGATATTTTTATCCAAGTTTATCATACTGTCAGAATCTTATACCGGCCTATGCCTACTATATGTAGTATTTTAAATAGGATTACCATTTTTTTTCCTACAAAAACAGCCATGTACACCAAAAAAGTCACTAAAAAGGCAGTTAATGTATTTACATATAGAATAAATTTAGGATAATGGCAAAAACAATCACAGACAGGCAATTGAGTTTTTTGCTTAACCATTTATACCTGATGAATGAACACTGTTTTAGTATTTACATGACCTTGCAGTTTTGTGAGTGTAAAACTGTGCATGCAAACACAATAGATGATTAACTGACACTCCTGCATTTAATGTGGCTGAGACCTCCTTTACTATCGCTTGATATTAGGACAGGGTTTATTGTTGAATTTGCTTGTCCTAACATGTAAAATAGACTGTTACCAGACAGTCTAACGCAGCCTGAGTCTGTTTAGTGGGGAGGGTGTGGAAAAGAGAGCGAGAGGGGCAGGATTCTGAGAGCTTGTGTCCTCATGGCAGCAGACAGACCTGTCACTTTATGAATCACTGTTTTTGACTGGAGGCCTGCTGGGAGACATTAGCAGGCAAATGCAGTGTGAACCGTGAATGGGACGGTTAAAGCCAGTGCGGAGAGATCAGTATACAGAACTAAAAAGAGATATCTTTTATTAGCAGGACAGAACTAGTCTGGACCAGGCAGGACTTGATTCTGCCCTTCACCTATAAATATTTTTATTCCATGTGGAAAAATACCCGTCGTAGTCTTTTTATAAAGAACAACTTCTTTTTATACCGACAAATAAGAATGAAAAATGAAAGGAATGAAAATTCACGCAAAGTTATTTTTAATGCAAGAGGCCACCTGGACTAAATAATATATAAATAATTATATAAAGTTTATTATTATTTCTATATATTTTAAAGCTTGTGACACATTTAAGGTCGCAATGCATTTAGTTTCTACTAAAACTGAATTGAAAGAAAATATTAATCTCTCTAAATATGATGAGAACATCTAAATATTGCTAAATTATATTCTAATAAACGCACATAATTCTATAGGAGGCATTTTAAGAATAGTCCAAAATATATTTAAAGATGTATCTGAAAATATACAAGAGTGTCATTGTCCAAAACATGTCAATTCTGCCACAGATCCCTGTCTTCTATCATTACAGCTCACTCATGCATTACGTAATTCTTCCTGAATCCTAATAGGGACTTGCAGGCAAACAAATGTGTCATTTGCTCTGGTGTTCTTCCAGCCTAAATGGCTTTCACAGGCCCTCCTTCACAGGAACTGCCACAGAGAGGCCGTCCTACGTAGTCTGTGGGCCGCACATGCTTCTGCTTTGTCACACAGCAACCTGGACATCTGGTTCTGTAAGAGGCTGATGAATTTACCCTATTCACCCCACCTTCACTTACAGTGCTCAGATGGGATGATAAATTTACATCAGTTGCTGAAGGCACGTCCTGAAGCTTTGACCCCGCGGCACACAGGAGCACTAGGCCACACACTTCAGTGCCTCATGCTGTCGCGGCAGAGCGAAATAAAGGATTTCCCAGGTGTCCGAGAAATCGCATTTCAAACAACTGTTTGGTCAGGATTTTCTCGTGCCAGTAAGGCAGGTTGAAGTAAAGATGCTCCTGCCAAAAAGGGTTTCTATATGTCGAGAAATGCTAACTCTTGATTGATTCTTTTGGCTCTCATCACATTGGACTTGTCTTAATTGTTCGGGAGCCTCGAGACGTTACCTCACCGATGTCGGGGCAGTTGTAAAAGCTGATGAATGGCTTTTTATGTAAATGTTTGTAGATATAAATATTACAGACTGACAACGACCCTGTTATGGCAGCTGCGCATATTCCGATTAAATGTTTTGATAAAAGGTACATAATAATAATAACAATAATAATAAAATCTCTCAGGCCCTCGTATCCCTCCCAGCTTTCTATTTAAAGAAGATGTCAAGACATCCAAAAGTTGATGTAATTAAAAGCCCTGGCTGAGGTCCAGGTCCTGGCACCAATACAAAGATACAACAGCGCAAGAATTCAGCGCAAGAATTCATCTTCAGCTCTTATAGAAACAATGCAGAACAATACGCCACTGCAAAAATAACACCCTGTCTGCCAACTTCTGCTGAATGGACCCCTCGGCTGAGTGAAGGGGAACCCTGTCTGCTCCAGGCAATAAAGCAAAACAGTCGTCTGACTTCCCTCATGAGAAAAGTAACATGCTCAGCACTCTGCCCCTGAGGAGCGCACTGAACGGCAGTGACAACAGTGATCGCTCGCCAGGGTTATTGGCCAAAGGCTTAATCCTTACAGACACAAACTGTATAGAGATACTGTTAGTTGGGGAGTGGGGGGGTATGAGGGTCTGTCTGTCCCCGGACATGCGATGGCCAGCCGCTGCTCACTTGTCTGCTCTATTTTAAATGACAGCTTTGTAATTTTAGAGCCAATAAATGAGGGGGCAAGAGCAAGGGAAGCACCACTCAGACAGACAGGGCTCACATTTCACTCGTTTGCCCTCTGAGAGTGTAGAGACAGAGCAGACGTCTGCCGTTGGGGAATCAGGCAGTGATGCCATCCTGTTTTCCTCTCATGCACCTTTAGGCATCACAATCAAACATGGCTTTGACAATGACACTAATTGGCCTCCAAGGATCTCTGAATTTCTCCACCCCTCGTTTTATCATCTTTTCATTTTATTTAATTTTTTTAATTTTTGAAGAACATTCCATAGATTTTTACATTGGGTGTCATTCAATCATTCATTTTCTTTTCAGATTAGTGCCTTTTAATCCAGGGTCGCCACAGTGGAAAGAACCGCCAACTTATCCAGCACATGTTTTACGCAGAGGATGTCCTTCCAGCTGCAACCTATCTCTGGGAAACATCCATACACACTCATTCACACTCATATTCTACGAACAATTTTGCCTACCCAATTTACCTGTACCGCATGTCTTTGGACTGTGGGGAAAACTGAAGCACGCAAAAGAAACCCACGCAAACACGGAGAGAACATGCAAACTCCACAAAGAAACACCAATTGACCCAGCCAAGGCTCGAACCAGTGACCTTCTTGCTGTGAGGCGACAGCACTACCTACTGCGCCATCGCGTAGCCACTACATTGGGAGTCAATAACAATAATTGTGACTGTCATTATTATAATGAGAAATAGTGATGTAATAGCTAATGCAGCAAAGTGGAAGTATATGAGATTTGATTTATATTTGATATAATTTGATACATTTGAACAAAACAATTAAACATTAAAATATCAGGCTTTTCGCAGTTCTATCAGCAACAAATAGACAATAATAAACCTCCTCTTATTGATTTCAGACGACTTTATATTAATGCATCCATAATTTTCCACAATTTAATCCATAATCCACAATTTGGCCTACAGCACAAATGTAGACCACACAATGTCCCTATTTGCTATAATTGTGAGCTGATGAGGATGTCGGCAACTAGTGCCACCAAGATGTCATCTGTGTAGATGTACTGAATTCAGCACAAACCCGAGCCAGCATCTCTTTTCCAAAGCCACATGCATCAGGTTCATCTTTCACTAATCGGAGGGTGTGTCTCTGGAAGTGAACACATAGATCATCTCTCTGCATTCGATAGATGGCACGCTGAAGTGAGCCCCTCTTTGCCTGATCAGCGTATTCCATCTTACTTTTAGTTTAGGGTGTGGAAATAACCTGCTCTAGACTTAATGGCACATCGGAAAATTATTAGCAGAAAATTGTGCCAGCAATAGCCAACAAAGATAAAACGCTTAGCAGTTATTGATCACTGCAAAGGGCCAAACTGCTTCAGGTCAAGCCAAAACAAGTCTATAATGAACAACATCTGATATAAATAGCACTGCAGAGTGGAAAATATTGCAGTAAATTTAGCACAGGTCCACACTCACTTCAGTATATAGTATTTCACTTAGCTGTATGAACAATAACATTTAAAAGAGTTGTTTAGTTAGGGAAAATAAGTCAATAAGTAAGTCAAAGTAGCATCAAGTCACCTAAAAAAATATAAATATACCATCAACAGCCTAACCTTCCAAACGTATTAAGATCTGCAACTGAATGTTTTGGGATGTAAGAGTGTGAACGCTTGTATTCCCATCAAATTAAAAGAATGTTTTTGACTTT